AAATGAATTGAAACTCAACTACAGCAATAGACTGTTACTCAGATGGTCAACAATTCAAATCCACAAAGGAGGACATTACAGTGATCCTAGGGAGACTATCCAACAAGAATTTATCTATATACAGAGCATCTTCCTTCAGGATAATGCTGCCCAACTCAAATCACAAACTTGCAATAAATCTATTTGGTGACACTATTTTTGGTGTCTCTCTGTACATATAAGTTAATGAAACTTAAAATGTTGTAAGTATACATGGAAGACAGATAAAAGGCAGCTTTAAAAAAATCATGGAAAGTCCACATTAAAAACTATAGATGAAATTTAAAAGTGTTTTTCACTCATATTATGTTCTTATAATATTTCTGGACAGGATTTAGTTAAGGGCACTAATAAAAATAAGACATCAGTTTGAAAATAATCCCTATCAGAGTAATATGAATTGTAGGAACAAACAAACAGCACATTTATGATAGGGCTTACTTAGATGGAAGAAGGCTGCATTGATATGGTTAAACTCTCAAGATATTCAATTTTTTTTATATAGATTAAATAGCTCTTGTCATCACTACAAAACTGTATTGACCTTGATGGAGCTTATGTTAGAAAAAAAGTTGATATCTTTATGTTTATCTTTAAATTTCATTTTTCCAAAAACTTTTTCAAAGTCCACTCATATATATAAACAGATCAATTACAATACTCAAGTAATTCAAATGCTAGAAATAAAATGCGCCAGAACCCCAGAAAGGAAACAGCCTTGGAAGATGGATGTAGGTACACAAATAAAGGGAAGATATAAAGAAAACAAGACTGAAGCCTATGAGACCAGAACTCAAAGGGCTCCTCTGATTTTCCAGATCTTATAGTTTTCCTCCTTTGACATATTATAGTATTATCATTTTTCCATCATTCATGTTAATGGAAAATATTGAGTTTTCCTTTTCCAATAGTTTTCTGCCTTATACCAATCAAGTCTTCACACAATTTACTTTATAGGGAAAGGCTGCTTCCTATCAGTGTTGTTTTTGAAGTTTTTGCTACCTAATTTCTTTCCACTTTAGCTTATTCTCCCAGGAGAGACTGTTTAGAAGATAAATTTGAATATTGTTGGCCCATCTGTGGAAACAAAGCCAATTATGCAGGGAGCCAAGATGGGAGCAAAATATGACTGGTTAGGAATACACTGGAATTGTGGCATAGTGGGTTACCACTAGGCTAAGTACAAGTTCACCAGTCTGAAACTACTAACTTCTACACAGAGTAAAGATGAAGCTGAGGTTATCTATTCTGGTATAGATTTATAGATTTGGAAATCCAGAGGGGTAGTTCAACTTTGTCCTAAAGGGTCATTATGAGTCAGCATAGGGTCGTTATAAGTCAGGATAAATAGGAAAGCGGTGATTTGGGTTGTTTGGAGTTATCCCTTCAACATAATTCCTTAAGGTTGGAAAAGACAGTCTTTTTCACAAAAGAAATCACAAGAAATTGCAGAGATATATAATGAAGGGAGAAGCAGCAGTACTATGAATCTGAATTAGCTGAATATGGAAATTATAATAAATATTAGAAAGAGATGAAATAAAATAAAGTAAAAAAAAGTTCTCAGTTTTCAAGGAAAAGTAAGTAAGTCTTCTTCAAATGGAAGAAATTAAAGGAGAATATCATAAATATTGATTCTAACTATGAAGTTGCAGCACAAGTATAAGCATCAGTTGTTAAGTATACTGCAAATAACTTATTACTATCAAAAATTATATTATCAAGCTTTGAAAGTAAAATGCTTTAGGAAAAACACTCCGTGAAAAGTTTCTATCATTCCATTTGCATAATTAAATGCCTCACAAAAAGAGAAGTAGTGTGATTCTCTGGGAATGAGATTACTTTCTAAACATGTCTTTACCAAATGAATATCATAAAGTCACAGCAAGAACAGTTAAAGCTCTCCTTCCCAAAATACTGCTATACAGATGTTGAGATTTATAACAGATCTATTAGAAAAACACAAGTCAGTATGTCAAATTATTTTCCACTCCATCAGCATCCTCTACTAGTAAGCATATTTTTAAAAGGAGAAAAATCAGTGCATTAAAATTTACTTTCTCTAGCACTTTGCAAACTACATTAAAAAATGAAGAAAATCAAAACTACATTACATACCTATCTCAAATCCAACTATCACATTTTACTAAACGAAATATTCAGATGATTGCCAATTCATTTTCATTTAATTGCTGCTCCAGTAGACAAAACAAATAATATAAAATTCAAACAATATGAAACAAGATGCAATTTTAATGATTTTTTTAAAATACCCTAAAATTCTATTATGTAATAGAAATGCGCTATTTAAAAGATTGAAACCGAGGCAAAATATGATAATAGAATCAATGATAGCAAATGCAAGATATGAATTAACTATTCAAAGTATTATCAATAAAATTAACTAATTCTATTGTATTTATTTCCCACTGTATTTATTTATTTAGTTCCTACTGTGGTGGTTACATAATCTGTTGTCAATTTGAGACTTCAAGTGAAGGGCTGGAGTTTAGCCTGTCAATCAGGTTGCAGCTTGATGACCTCATATGGAGACACTAAAGAGAATTGCTCGCTGGAGGTTGGATACACACTGACTCTCTGCGAGACATTCCTGCGGACAAGATACATGGAACTACGCTAAATCCCTGGAGCTGAAGAAGCCATGTTGAGACCCCTACCAGTGCTGAGATGCTTCTACTGCCTCTGGATTCACAAGACTTCCCACCCACTGGCCTGTGATCTTCCTGCATTTGGTATCATTGCATGTGTTTCATGAGTCTGAAGAGGACTTTATAGATTGATTTCAGACATATGGGCTAATATTGGACTTATGAACTTGATCTGAACTGGGCTGGGATGTTTTCTCAATATTCAATTGCTCTTGTATATAAAACTCTTTCTTATACACATGAGTCTCTCTGAATTTGTTTCTGTAGTCTATCTGGACTAACACATCTACCAACAAGTAATTTTTAACTTAAACAAATAGAAATGGGTATATGAGATCACTAATTTATGTATCTTTACTTCTAAAACCAAATATAATGTTTATTTGTCTGCTGCATTCTCAAGTGAGATCATGTAAAGTCCCTTGATTTCCTACAGATCTGTACATTATGGAATTTTGCCTAAATTCACTTTGTATTATGATAAACCCCAACTGGAACATATCTCTCATCCTCTTTCATTTGTTATTCTTTCAGGGAGTCCATTCACCGAGAGGCCACAAAGTGGTGTTTCCTAAATATAGGACATTGAAAGGACGTATGCAAGCTGAATGTTGGCCCCCAGGCAGTGGGGACACTCTTCCAGTGGATCACAGAGTTCACTTCAGGTCTCTGCACAAAGTTCATCAAAGTTGACCATGTGCTTACAACCTACACTTTTTATTCCAGTCTTTAGAGGTTCTTAATAAGGTATGTTCTGTGTGACAAATACAAAGTGCTCTCCTAGAATCAGATGTAGAGATCATCGTCATACTGAGCTCTTTCTGAGAAAGCTTTCATGAGAAAGCTAATCTCATGCTATCTTCCCAATCCCATTATATTTTATTTAAGATAACAATGGCACAAAGAGTGGGATGGGGAAACAGAGGGAAGTATTTTTAAAAGAAACAATGTATCCCTCCAAAGACTGAGACGAAAAAAGGAAACTTCCCGTTGTGAGCATGAACTTTTCCTTGCAGGACTTTGTACAGGGAGCTGGTACAAAACCACGGACACTCTAGCCATTTTTGTCTGTAAAATTGAACTCATAAGAAAGATAACTACATGTAGTAATAAAAATTATAATGATAACAATAATACTAGCACACACCTATGCCATGAAAAGCATTGCAATAGGAATATAGTTCTTAGTGCATTCAAGATGCATTCTTACATAATAGTCCAAATAATGCTATGCTGCAGATGCTCTTCTTATCAATATTTAGCACATGAGCAAACTAAGATACAGAGCTTAGGAAACTTACCTAAGGTAATTAATTTGATAATTATGAAGTAGCAGAATCTGTTTACATGCTCTTACTATATGGTAATCTCTTTGACCACAAGTCCAAAATAAATGTCTAACAACTATCTTTCCCTCTATGAGCCAGTTAGTCAGGGGAAGTGGGGCGGGGTAGAGGGGAACTACAGAACATAATTCTGAACTACCACTTAGGAAAATTTGAAAAGGGAGGGGAGTTGAGAATCATAATAATGCTCTTCTATTGACTCTTTGAGTCAGGATCAGAATGTAGTACTGGTAAATCTATTAAGAAGAAATCAGAAACTTAGGCCAAAAAGTAAATAAGTAAATAATAAATGGATAATACAACCAAGTACATAAAACCTTGTTACACAAATATCTCCTTCTATTCTGTAAGACAAATATAGTTCTTCCCTAGAATTAGTTTTGGAGAACATCATCACACTTTTATACTCTTCCAAATAAAGCTGATGGAAACCTCACATGGACTTCTTTATAACTTACCTCACAAAAACTTTAGAACAAAAAGTACTAAAACAACAATAAGGGAACACAGATTAAGCAAAAAAAGTATATATTACATCTGAAACTAGTGCAGTTTTAAAAAAAAGGTTTAAACTGAGATTATACTAATTTCTCTATTTTGCATCTCCAATTTAATCTCTGAAGGTAAAAATAAATAATTAAACAAAAGCTTCTAGTTGTTGGCAAAGTTGGGTGTGTGGAGTCAGTGGTTTGTAAACTTCAGTATACACAATAATTACTGGAGAATTCCAGTATCCAATACCCCCAAACTCTAATTCTGTAGCCCTGGAGGTGGGACAATAAAGTCTTCCATTCAACAACCCTCTCAGTGATTTTAATTGAGTTGTTTGCAGAGTATGCTCTAAGAATTACTTATAGGGGAAAGACAGATTCATTGTCTAGTCATCCATACAAAGATAATTTATGCTAACACAATTTCAGAATATTCATGGTTCTCAGGCTCCTACCTATTTCAGCATCCTGGGGCCTCTTGTCTTCATCAGGAAGTTTAGATAGAGGCCAAGCAGATGGAATTCTTCTGGGAAATTGTTCTTCTGCATAATCCAGTGAGTGTGTGGGTTGACTAACTGCAGCCCAGGTGTAAAGTTGATCTTGCTATATTTAAAGAGTTAAAAAAAAATCTATTAATTCATTCATGAAAAACTACATATCTTGATTCATATACTATAACAGCATTTCTGTGTAATTCATGTAAATATATCATAAAAATAAAACTAAGAAAACAAACTCACAGACATCCAGTCAATTACAAGTCATAGCAACCCAACAGGACAGCGTAGGACTGCCCCATGCAGGTTTCTGAGACTATAAATCTTTACAGGAGCAAAAAGCCTCATCTTTCTCCCATGGAGCAGCTGGTGGGTTCAAACTGCTAAATTTATGACTAGATCCAAATGGGCAAACCAATGTGGCACCATGGTCCTCATATAAATGTGTAAAACACATAAAATGAATAAATATTTTTATGTAAGTGTTTAATACCTAAAAATAAAAAGATAAGGCTGAATTTCATATTATTCGATGTAGAATCATAACATAAATATTGTTGGTTCATTTAATTTTCATAAACATCAGTGTTGTAATTTCTTTTGTGTGGTACTTAAAGACTTTTTCTTTGGAATAAAAATGCAATATGGGCCTACAGGAATTTTAGGAGAAGAAAAATCAAACACTTAATCTGATAACCCTTTGTACTAGTTCTTTTACTACAGTTGAATATAATGCAACTTTAAAATCAGTTTATTCACTTATCAAAAGGCAGGTTTTACTTATGTGCTGCCTGCTATTAACTTTTTTGGCTTCCACAACAAAAGATCAAGAAATTAAACTTATTGGAAAACCATTTTGAGAGAAAAACTGTGAAAAAGTCAATGAACCTGCCAACAATAGAAGATTTGGATTCTACGGCAAAAACAAAAGTATTTCCCAAGGCCTATGGTATACTCAGGGAAGCTATAAAAACAATCAGGATAAATTACAGTATTCTTGATTAATATAGCACCATTCTGTGTATAGCACCATTTGCAAACATCTAGTGCAGGAGAAAATGTAGAATGTAAACAAAGAGCACCATTGCAAGACCTATCAACCTTGGAAAACTGTTCTTTAAGATTTCAGAACAATAGAGTATTTAACCATTTTAAGATATGTATTAGGTTTAGTTCCTTTTTTCCATGGACTTTTAAAAAGCCCAATGTTTTCTTTGTGGCATTTTTCTTTCTTCTTTATAGCTACATTTTCTAATAACTTGTGACTAGCAGCAAATAAAATAAAGAGAAGACCAGAGTCTTGTAAGTTGAAGTAGAGGGGGAAAAAGAAAAGAACATTGTAATCACCATGTTACTCATGTTGGCTAGCTTGCTGACCAAAAGGTCAGTCGTTCAAACCACCAGCAGCTCCTTGGAGAAAAGACCTGGTGATCAACTCTGATAAAGATTACAGCCTAGGACCCATGAGTATGGTGCTCTTTGAAGAAAAATAACATATAAGATTAAAGGTCAACAATTACTCTAAAGTTATAATGTTAAGATGAGACAGGGACATTAGAGCACTGGAAATGGGACCATAAGGAAACAATTAAATAGAATGTTGGCAAATCATCTAAACTATAACTAGTGTAATCTAAAATTTTGTATACAAATTGTCAAATAAGAATGCATATATATGTTTTATTTAACATGATTATATACAAGGAAACCCAGTAGGACATTTCTACCCTAACAAAATAGATCACTAGAAATCAGAATATACTAGAGGACAACAATAAGAGATTAAAGTAAAGTTAGCCAAGACATAGGTATTGCCATTTGTGTAATTTATTTATTAACTTAACAAATTAATAAAACAAAATTTATAAGTGAGACTAAGATTAAATGCATATCAGTTAGTTTAAGCTTTACCTAATTGAGAATTCAGATACCAGGATTGTATCAGAAAGACCTGGCTTAGTATATCTGGTACTTGTATCTCTTTTAGTTATTTATATCTAGAGCAATACCAGAACCTTTGCTGTTTAGCATCCTGAATATAAGAAATGGGTTTTCATTGGTAAAATTAGTGCTTTGTTTAATTAACATGATGAATGTTAACAATGGGCTCTCATTGGTGAAATTGAAAGACAAAATATTTGGATTAGCAAAAACAGCAGAGATTGTTGCCATACTTTACAACGATCAGGGAAAAGATTTGGGCAAAGGACGATACAAGTATTAACATCTGGACAGTGAGGCAACTAGCCATTGGTTAAGAATATTTCCCCTTGAATGTTGCCTACAGATACAGAATCCTACCTCTGGGAAGCTATTTTATCTGTATCACTTAAACATTTCATGGAAGGTTTAATCAAGTACCTAACCAGTTGGCAGTTACAACTTTCTTGAGAGTACAGGAACCCTTGTGTGAGTACTTGGTGTATATTCTAGGTTGTATGTTTCATAAATGTCCACATTTGGCAGAATTATCCTAGAAATTTAAATACTTTCATTAGAATTCAGAAAATTGAAATCTTGTCAGGGAGCAGTTAAAACTCTCCCATTTAAAAGATGTATAAAAGTTGTAACACTTGGTTAGTCGGTTCTCAACAGATGGCATGAATATTGCTCTGGCTGAAGAAAAGCATTGAAATGGAACTCTCATTCCCTTCCACCACCTTTTGTTTCAATTAGTGATTATGATATGCATTTGGCTTCTTTCAGAAACTATTCTACACAAATCCAAAAATCCCTCCCCCAAACAATTTAAATCTTTGCACCCAGCCATTGCCATTGAATGGGTTTCTAATACAACAGAATCAAATGCCGTGGGGGAGGGAGGGGTGCCTATTTGATTCTGTCAATATGCTTCTATCAAATTTATGGAGGATCCCATTGCTATACTATAGTGACCAAGATCCAAAGCCGTATAACTAGATAGACATAGACATGGGGCTGCATCTCAGCACATGTGACCTGAAAGAACTTCATTCCACATTTTTAAAATGCTGATAAGTTACCATGTAGTGCTTTAAAAAAATGAAGATGATGTATATTAAATCTGTAGCGCAACGGTTAGCCTAAGGGGACTGCAATGGTCAAGGGATTCCACACCAGACATCACATCCAATGACAAAGGAAATCTTGTAGAGAGTGCTTCATAATACACCCACTCAGTTCCATGCATTGATTATCCCATATACAAGCAGCACCAATATTCAAAGGGAAAGAAACTTTGATTTGGTTTCATCATTAACCAAAATGCAAAATATACTAGTAGCATGCTGCAAAACTCATATAAACCATCCAATGTATTTTGGTCAGTTTTCCAGTCACACTTACAGGACTGTAAATCGATTGCCTCACAGAGTAGCCAAGGCTGTAAATCTTTATGGAAGCAAAGCACTACATCTTTCTTCCATAGAGCTGCTCATAGGTTCAAACTGCTAACTTTTTATTTATCAGCCAAGTGCTTACCAATTGTGCCAATAAGGTTTCTTCTACATAGAGACCTAGAGGGGTATGTATGTGTGCACAGGTAGATGTATCAATAGACATATACAGATATATGTGTGCACACATGTATATCTATATAAAATAGTATAAACTAAAAAGTATTGCCTCAAGAGTTCCAACTGATAAATGCATGGAGTTATTCTTAAAAAAAAAAAAAAGTCTATCCATGTCTGTGTAAACAGGGCTGATTACAAATGAGTTTCCTCAGTAATTTTCCTTTCTTGGTCATATTAGGGTAACTTCAACTGTTTTTTCAATAAAATAGTGGCTTTTTGGCCCAGCCCCAATCCCAAATACGTGGACAGCTGTCCCTCCCCCCAGAAGAATTTACTTTAGAGGACAGCATTGAAGCTGCAGCTGGGGGAGAGGGACATGTCTGATCAGAGCACACAGGAGCAAATGAAGAGGGAGGAAGAGAGAGTGGAGCACATCCTGGCCCACCAAGCCTAGAGGATGATATCCCCACTCAGAACAGCCAATGAACAGAGTGGATCATATGGTGAGTCCCACTATGAGACACGAAGTCCCTCGCTGACCTATTGCCCTACAGGGGGCAACACTGGAGACTCAGGGTTGGGATCAGTCTGGTATCACTCCACCACACTGAGGCAAAACACTAAAGGCGTGCAACAGAGCAGCAGGGTGTTAGGGGGTGGGGTGGGAAGTGGGACAGAGCAGGTAGGTCCCGAGGAAGAACAAAGGATAGACTTTGGGGCCAGGGTGTGGCACCCCATCAGACTCGACCGGAGGATAAGCCTAGAGGTCAACAAACAGGCCTTGCACTATTTATAGGTTTTTCCTTTCCTTTTTTTTTAATTAAAGGTTTTTATTCATTTATTTATTTGATAATTGTTTTTTGTTGTTGTTGTGTTTTCTTTTGTCACTTTGTTTTGATATGTCTTGTTTTTTTTATGTGCATATTATTATCTCTGCAGGTCTATCTAGATAAGAGAGGCTGGATTAACAGTCTAGAGGAGAAAACAACAGGACCGATGGTTCTGGGGGGACATGGGAGAGGGGGAGATGGGGGAAAGGAGGTGGTGTTGGCCAACCTAGGGACAAGGGAATAACAAGTGATCCAAAATTAGTGGCAAGGAGGGTGAGAGAGGCCTGGTAGAGATTGATCAAGGGCAATGTAATTGAGAAAAATTACTGAAATCCAAATGAAGGCTGAGCATGATAGTGGGACAAGAGGAAAGTAAGGAAAAAGAGGAAAAAACTATGAGGCAAAGGGCATTTATAGAGCTTTAACTACAGACATGTACATATGTAAATATATTTATGTAAAATGATGGGAAAATAGATCTACCTGCTTATATTTATAGGTTTAGTATTAAGGCAGCAGATGGACATTGGGCCTCCACTCAATACTTCCTCAATGCAAGAACACTTTGTTCTATTAAATTGTTATTCCATGATGCACACCTTCCTGACATGATCGCTGAAGACAAATGTGTGCATAAGCAAATGTGGTAAAGAAAGCTGATAGTGCCCAACTATCAAAATATATAGTGTCTGGGGCCTTAAAGACTTGAAGGTAAATATGTGGCCACCTAACTCAGAAGCACACCAGCCTGTGTGACCACGAGGTGTTGAAGGGATCATGTA